TAAGAAGGAAAACACCCAATCAGCGGGGTCTGGGAGAAACAAGGAAGCACACCCCCAACGGAATAGATTCTCTCCCTTTTTCTAGCCTCCACTCAAAACGTGACAAGAAGACACCCCTCTTTAATCGTTGTTAAGAGCGTGGTAGTGGACCATGCTCTCGTCCAACAAAGATGTTCGACTAGTATCGTTGATGACCGCAGTAGCTATAGTAGCGAGTGCTGCAGCAGCAACAGCAATAGCAGCTATAGCAGCAGCAGCAGCAGCAGCAGCAGCAGCAGTAGCAGGAGGAGCAGGAGCAATACTAACAACAGCAATGCCAATAGCATTTCATTAAAGCAGTAGCAACAACAGTAGCAGTAACATCAATAATGATTTGAACGATATTATGAGCATTAGCAGCAGCAACTACAACAACAACAATTATAACAACAATAAGAAAACAACTGCAGTGAGAACAGAAACAACAGAAACAACATTAATAACAACAGTATGAGCAGCAGCAGCAACAGCTGTCTCTCTCTCTCTCTCTCTCTCTCTCTCTCTCTCTCTCTCTCTCTCTCTCTCTCTCTCTCTCTCTCTCTCTCTCTCTCTCTCTCTCTCTCACACACACACACACACACACACACATACACACACACACCCATACGCACACGCAATCACTCACTCAGTCAGGAAGATAATCCTTCCAGATTTTAGTGAAATATTTGTTACTGGACGAACGATCTATCTATCTATCGATCTTTCGTCATTTTTGCTAAACATTCTTTTTTTTTGATATCATGATATACGACATTATTTACTTAAACGATTTGTGTGATTGGGAATTCATGATGTGTTGATTAGGAAGAAGACCTAAGTTCGATTCTTTTTCAGGGAGTTCTGTGCCGGGTATCTGTATCTTTCTGCTGTATTTATGGGGGCCCTGAATTTTTACAAACATTGCTGTACCCTCTCCTTCACCCATTGCTAAACTCCACCTGCATGTCTGGCATTCTGTCCGTATGTCCGTCTGTTTGTCTGTCTGTCTGTCTGTCTGTCTGTCTGTCTGTCTGTCTGTCTGTCTGTCTGTCTGTCTGTCTGTCTGTCTGTCTGTCTGCCTTTCAATACTGCAACATCCTTTAAGATTTCCCCCTCTCACTCTTTTTTTCGCCAGGCGACGGACATCCCAGCAAACTGTACACTGACAGACGACTTAACATCTGGGAATTTTGTTTTTGGCAAGCAGGTGCTTTTTCTTCTCAAAGAAATAAATAAACAAGCAAACAAACGAATAGACTATATTTCTGTCTCTCCTTCTTTCTCTGCCTCCTCTCTATCGCCCTGTGTCTCTGTCCCTGTCTATCACTCTATCTCTGACTCTTTATCTCTGTCTGTCTGTCTGTCTGTCTGTCTGTCTCTTTCTCTCTTTCTCTGTCTCCTCCCCCCCCTTCTCTCTCTCTCTCTTTCTCACTCACTCTCACATTGGCCGGAAAGTTCTGAGTGTACTTCTTGTGATCTGGCTATATTATTATATTAATAAGTTATTTTGCGATTTCTGATTAGAAAAAAAGACAATGTAAAAACTGGCAGGCCAAAGCAGGATGTTAAAAAGAAAAAGGATAATTACAAATAAGTAGAGATTTATTCTCTGTTCAGTGAGAAAGATGGACCGTTGAGTATTAGACAGGACATAGGGTTACTTCCACCTTGCTCACTTTTTCATTGCTGGAGATTTCCGTGATGCTCTTTGTTGTATTTCAAAATAACCAAACTGACAAAAGGCTGAAAGTGAACGCGCTGTTTGTATGATAAATTCAGGAATTGTGCTTTTGCTGTTTACAAAAGATGGGTGTAAATTTGTGCAAGAAAACCATCTGGCGCTTGAACAAGTGTTTTAACGCCACTGAAGTTGTCCAAGACAAGTCTAGACGTGGCCTACAACTCGGCGTCTCAAGTTCGAAACCTCTTCCAATCAAGTGCAGAGGCTGCCAAGTACCTCATACCATTAGGCGTTTATGTGATCATGGATTACGTGATTATCACCCTTTATGTGGGACCATTCTAACCCTGCTACATCGAGGAAATCGCAAAATTTTGGGGGGGGGGGGGGGAG